ATTTTTCATAGCTTCCTGAGAAGGTTTTGCTATCTGTTTATCTGTATTTTCATTAATTTCGCATTGCTGTTGTGATTCATTACCGGGTTTTATTTTATCTTCTTCCTCTTTTTTAATATTTGAAGCAGACTGTATAATTTGTGTTTTTTCTGCAGGTTTACAGGTTGCCTAAAAATAAAAACTTTCTATGGCTTCTGCTAAAGATTCTCTTATTAAGCTACATAAATACAAAGTATGGCATATATATATATATATATATATATATATATATATATATATACAGGGTTATCCAAATTAAGTGTCCACCATTAGTAACTTTGTTATTAGTGAAAATACAAAGTTGTTTGAATTAGCAAACTAGTAGCATTTTTAACGCTGGTAAAAATGAGAAATAAAAAAAAACAATTGAGAGTCGTTATTTTGATTTTTTTCAGTAAAATAACATTTTTTTAAATGGAAACCCCTGTATCTTATATTTTTTTCTGTTAAAGCATCAAATTTTAAACAAAAAAGTTCATAATGACTTTTCCGCTAAAGTCAAAAATAAAGTCAAAATAACGATAAATATTTTTAATTATTTGCAGTATTATAATATTAAGACGGCTATGAAAACTATGATCAGTGGATAGGAACAAATGGCCCAATACAGTGGCCTCCCAGATCACCAGATCTAAACCCACTTGATTACTTCTTGTGGGGTTACTTAAAGAACCAAATTTACAAGCGAAGGTACGATAACCTTGACGCGTTAAAGACTGCAGTTAGGGAAAAGATAACCCAGATAGATGGTAGGACCATACTTAAGACAGTTCGAGCAGTTGAAAAACGTGCCCAAAAATGTATTGAAGAACAAGGTGGTGTTTTCGAGCATCTTCTTTAAAAAAAATTGTTATTGTATTTTGTAAGATTATAAGTTGATGTTGAAAATAAAGTTTGTCGATACAATTTAATTGTTTCAGATTGGAGGCCATAACTTCAACAATTTGTAACCTAGGAGAAAAGTTATTGTAAGCTTTTTTGTTTAAAATTTGATGCTTTAACAGAAAAAAATATAATATACAGGGGTTTCCATTTAAAAAAATGTTATTTTACTGAAAAAAATCAAAATAACGACTCTCAATTGTTTTTTTTTTATTTCTCATTTTTACCAGCGTTAAAAATGCTACTAGTTTGCTAATTCAAACAACTTTGTATTTTCACTAATAACAAAGTTACTAATGGTGGACACTTAATTTGGATAACCCCTGTATAGAATATTTTTTTCTGTTCAAGCATCAAATTTTAAACAAAAAAGCTTACAATAACTTTTCTCCTAGGTTACAAATTGTTGAAGTTATGGCCTCCAATCTGAAACAATTAAATTGTATCGACAAACTTTATTTTCAACATCAACTTATAATCTTACAAAATACAATAACAATTTTTTTTAAAGAAGATGCTCGAAAACACCACCTTGTTCTTCAATACATTTTTGGGCACGTTTTTCAACTGCTCGAACTGTCTTAAGTATGGTCCTACCATCTATCTGGGTGATCTTTTCCCTAACTGCAGTCTTTAACGCGTCAAGGTTATCGTACCTTCGCTTGTAAATTTGGTTCTTTAAGTAACCCCACAAGAAGTAATCAAGTGGGTTTAGATCTGGTGATCTGGGAGGCCACTGTATTGGGCCATTTGTTCCTATCCACTGATCATTAAAAGTAGTACTTAGAAAATGATAAGTACCTCTGGAGTTGTGGGCAGGTGCGCCATCTTGCTGAAAATGCAGATGATGTCTACTTATAAGATCCAATTCGTCTAAGAAATTAGTCAGAATTTCTGACATAAATTCCACATATCTTTCACCAGTTAGGGTTCCCTCATAAAAGAACGGGCCAACAATTTTTGAACCAATTATACCGCACCAAACGTTGAAACTGAAACGGACTTGTGGGCCTCTTGGATGTACTAACAAAAGATTTTCTCTTGACCAATAATGGTGGTTTTTTCTATTAAACATTCCAGAATTTGAAAAATTTGATTCATCTGTCCATAAAAGATAACGAAAGTTATTTACATTTTGGCGACAGAAGCTAAGATACCAATGGCAAAAAACAAGTCTTCTCTCTGGATCCCCTGCCAAAAGCGTTTGAACTGGTCGGTACTTATACGGAATAAATTTGTATTTTTTAAAAATCCTTTGAACAGTACCATAACTGAAATTAGAGTCCTTGAGAATATCTGCTATTGAATTCTCACGATAAGCTTCAAAATATCCAATAACTGCAATTTCCGTGGCCTCGCTTATTATGAATTCTTTTTTTGCCCTTGTTTTAGCAAAAACATTTTCGTTGCCCCTAAATTTTCGATAAAGTCTCAGAAAATATCGTTCATACGGTTGAATGCGAGCGGGATATAATTCACTGTAGTATTCTCTTGCTCTCAAGGAGGATTTTCTGCACACTAAATAGCATTCTAACATATCACACTTTTCTTCATGGGAGAACATTTTTCTTTAAATTAATGACACAATAAAGCTTATAAACAAGTATTTACACTAATGTTTGACATTATTTGATTTTATCATTGTTTTCCAAAGCCTTCTAGTTGCGAGTATGTCCAGTTTAACAATTTGTCGCTTATCTTAATGCTGTCAAATCGCGAACGCCATGTTGTTTTCATAGCCGTCTTAATATTATATTACTGCAAATAATTAAAAATATTTATCGTTATTTTGACTTTAGCGGAAAAGTCATTATGAACTTTTTTGTTTAAAATTTGATGCTTTAACAGAAAAAAATATAATATACAGGGGTTTCTATTTAAAAAAATGTTATTTTACTGAAAAAAATCAAAATAACGACTCTCAATTGTTTTTTTTTATTTCTCATTTTTACCAGCGTTAAAAATGCTACTAGTTTGCTAATTCAAACAACTTTGTATTTTCACTAATAACAAAGTTACTAATGGTGGACACTTAATTTGGATAACCCTGTATATATATATATATATATATATATATTTTTTTTTTTTGAGACGTGGTCATTGTCGTCTAGACCAGTTAGGTGAAAAATTAAAGCTTCCGCCTTTTGTTGGGTACTTCGACAAAATTTAAGCAAAGAGGACTCTTTATACTTTTTTTTCCTAGACGTAAACAACAATTAGCAACATCCTCACATACTACTGTAAGTTGAGTCAATTTAAATTCATTTTACACCTTTGTTGCTACTGTTATCATTGTAATTGCAGCTCCTGATGATGATGGCAAAGTCCATTGAAAGCTAGAGAGAATTAAAAAAAGTATAAAGAGTCCTCTTTGCTTAAATTTTGTCGAAGTACCCAACAAAAGGCGGAAGCTTTAATTTTTCACCTATATATATATATATATATAATGGTAAATACAAAACCCTATGGCTTTAAATCTAATATGTTTAAACGAGCAATTCGTTCCGGTCACAAAATACAGGGTGTTAGTTTTCTGTATATATGTATAAAACTAACATCCTGTACTTTGTGACCAATTGACGGAATCAATCATAAGAAATAAATCTATAATATAATGAATATTACCTCTATACTTTGAGATAGGCCATAATATTTTCTAATCAGTAAAGAGAAACTTTTTGTCGATTTCTAATATTTCTAGTACTCATAGATACCTAAAATGATTTCGTCACTCACCTTAGAAAAAAAAGTAGATTGGATTTATTCTTAGTCGCCGCTTGCAATTCGATTATCTTAGATACAATAATATCTAGTTCCTTGTCGGATTTTGCTTGTAATTTGTAATTTCTCCACACTTCGTTAACTAACTTTTGTACATTTTGTACTTTCGTACTTGTATGAGATTTTTTAAAACTTTCAAACAATTTTTGGTATAACTTGGATTTGTCTATGTGAAGCAACATCTTATTTAAACATTAAGTTTTGGCTAATGGAATCAATGGTAACACAAATGTTAACTTGATTTACTATGCTTACAATACGTCTACTCGCTATAGCATCCAAACGAAACAATACACTGATAGAGGAAATTTAGACAAGTGAACACCGCGCGGTAATTCCCCTACTCGGTTCTAAAGCGAGTAGGGGAATTACCGTGCGCTGTTCACTTAACGTATGCATTATTTGCGGGAATCCCCGAAAATGCGTTTCGTTTTCAAGCAAAGACAATGTGAGGGTTGCCATTCGTGTAAAAAAGTAAATAACTACCGATGACGTAATCATCATCTAGACTCCCCTACCCCCCATGTAATCCAAAATAAGCAAAGCAAAGAACCCCCCTCCCCCCATGGTGCTCACGTAATACTTGAACGGCCCCTAATCACTCTTTTTGCAAAATTCGATTTTTTCCATTATCCGAATAACTTTTCAAAAGAAAAACTATGAATGATTTATAAAGTATCTAGGAACACATTTGAAACATATTTAGAATGATACAGTGTGTCCCAAATTTTAATCACATATCAAAGTAGTATTTTTGAAATCCAATGACCCCCAATTACATATTCAGATGGACCCTTTTCAAAAGAAAAATATTGATACACGTAATATACCATAGACTTTTGATTACTTGTTGCCGAGGTATAAGCTAATCAATGTAGACAAACGCCCAACTTTGACAGCTCGCCAGTACGTCACCCTGAGAGATATTCAAACGCGTTTTGTGTGAAAACATCTTTTCTTCTCTGATAAACCTACTAATTGAAAAGTTTCTACAGGTTGATCAAAAACTAAAATCATATTTTTTTTTCTAAAATTTCAACTTTCACATCGTGAGTTTACTTCGCCTTTTTTCAGCCGTCGGGGAGATAGGGCTGTTTAGAAAAGTTATTTAAAATGTGTAATTTACATAATCGATTTATTAGAATTCGACTATAAGGAACAGATGATTTATTATAATGAAAATAGATTATTTTTTAATACCCTAGAACGCAGAAACTTGTGGCATTATTATTTTGTTTTCAGTATGCATTCTAAATAGACAGATACGAAGAAAAAATAATGAAGGAAATCGTACTAACCCCGATACCTCCGCATGGGAGTCTAACAAAAGTAGTGACTGGCAGTGCGCTAAGCTTACTCATGTCCATTTTGTGCCTGTTTAATGAACTGGTGCCGTATAGCAACGCATGTGCTTCCGTGTGGCAGGTCTGCAGTTCTTGAGTCGAAGCTTTGCGGGGTCGTAGCCTATCACATCTGAAACATCACAAATATATATAACGTAATTACAAAAATTGCCATTTTTTTCACATACGCTCAAAAAGGTATTCAATACTGATACTATAAATAATACCTAACACGCTAATTTATATAAAATACATTTGGTATGGTTTATTCGCGACTTTTAGGTCACTGAATGACTAACAGTTTTGTTAACAATCTAAAAAGGCCATCTATCACGATACAAAATTTTGTTCATAATTTGGGCCAATTTTTGTGGAAAAATTCGTTACTGAATTTAGTTCCGAATTTGTTTAAAAATTACAATCCTGTCTGATACGTAAAGAAATTTTTGTAATAAATTTCATACGAAATCATGCGCAGTTGGTAGAAAAACACTATAACTGTCAACGTCCAACTGCCATTTATCACGTCAAAGTCATTCTAACCACTTTACTTTGTGGCTTGCTACTTTATTCTTTTATTACTTTAAACGAATAGAAAATTGTAGAAAATGGAGCGAACCCGTAATTCGCATATGAGTATATGCGACTGCCGCAGCAGCGATCTGCGTTATAGCTGCCCACCTCATAAGAAAGTGAAGTAAACGAAACCGTAAAAGAATTTGGTGCCAAAAATGGATTAGGAAGAGGGACCAGGGCATGGGTGTGCTCCATATGCCGAATAAAGAACTTCTAGTAGGGTATCAACTGACACTTATAAGCCTAATTGGTTCTAAAGTCATTCTGATTTTATCCAATACAGCTGATTTGGCTTTTCTGTTTTTATAGACCTTACTTTTTACCACATATATACAATCATATTTCTCATACTCGTTTAGTAGTATATGTCACAGTGCTATTTTGATCATGACATCTTTAAGTTTTCAATCTATAAGTAGAACAGCATACGCAGGGGAGTTTTGCGAAACTGATGAACACAAATGAGAACATGAACTAATGAAAGTGTTTGAGGTTATATCAGCGATTATACTGTATATTATCACAGCAAATAACAATCAGCTATGAAACTCCCCTGTCAAAGTCGAATGTAAATTTTCGAGTACAAATATAAGAGTTTTTAGTGCTCAGCAGCAGCCGGTACACTATATCATATCGAAATATTACCATTTTAAGATTGCAAAGAATATCTGCGGCCGTTGGCATGACACGTGGCAACCCTTATTACAGACCTATTTTTTGTTCTATAATTTCTTATCCGGTTTCTACCATTTTTTCTAAAAGGCAGTATATATAGATAAGTCTAGTGAATACGAGTATAAAGAATCTAGATAGTGTAGAGAATCTAAAGAATCTCTAAAATCCAAAGATGCCAAAGACTAGAGAATTTAGAAAATCTGGAGAATATGGAGGATCTTGAGGGAATCTCGATGAGTTAAAGATGCAGATAATCTAGAAAGTAGTGTATGTGTGAAATCTAGAGGATTCGAGAGCGTTCACAGACTCAAGAATATTCCTAGAATGGCGTAGGCTACTATCCACTTGGTGAAGTAATCTATGGAAAGGTCCCCAAAGTGTCCAAAGCAATGCGTACATTTCGGAAGTTTGGTGATAAACAAAGAATTGAACTCACCTGGATACCAACCCCGTTTCCAGCAACCTACTCCAAATGCTCTGCAACCTTCCCGCGTGCTCGGGATGGAGTGCGTTGTTGCCACATACGCACGCGTGTTTCAGCATCTGGTTGTCGTACGCGAGGCCTGTTGTTGGGGAAGATGACGCGCGTCGACGGGTCAACGTCGCTGCGGCGGCTACCGAGGGGGAGGTGACGTCAGTGGCTCCGCCCAAAATGGGCGTGGTTTCGACGGTAGGTCCGCCTCCGCCAGGATTGCCGTTGTTGCTGCCTCCGGGAGGAGGGCCCAAATGCACTACAGGAGAACTGAGAGCGCGGGATAGCGGTCGTATGCTGAAAGAAAAATAGGGATGCAACTAAAGATTCTTTACATTTTTATTTTCAATGAAATCTGCGCTTTAAAAAGTTTCAAAACAGAATGTTGTCAGAAAAATATATAAATTCAACAAATGTTTGCGGAAGTTCCGCGTTTGCATGATCCATGTTTTTTTTTTAATTTCATTTTTTATGTATATGATTATTATTTATGTTATAGTTTACTAGCTAGTAGAACTCATTAAACAGCTTCGTTACTGAGATACAAGGTGTTAAAGTTAATTTCTTCTAATATTAATATATGTATATATTTACTTTCTCTTAAATTATTTGAGTGAACTACCCCAGGAGCGGCACTATCAAATTTTAACCGGGTATTTCGGATTTTAATTAAGCACGCCACCTGTTTTTTGACACAGACAATAAATGGAGGTAAACATATTTATTTACAAAATTTCCATTTCAAACATTCGAGTGTTCTGGTTATGGTATTTTACGCTGTTGCCATCAATCACAGGTGGAAAGCCGAATAAACGTTTGTTGTCGTTGAGTTATGTATACAGGGTGTCCGCAAAGTTGGGGTTTTCCTTTACACGACGTGTAGATCTTGAAAACATAAGCAATTTTTCTTAGTACCATATACACCAATGTCTTAAGGGAACCGAGATAAAGGGCTCTGCAACATCAAAAAGATCTGAATACGTCCTGTAGCCGCGACATCCCCGAGTGGTACTAGGACACTAGCTCAACCCGACGACAGAACTGGGTGGGGGTCAGTGTGTCAGGTCAGTATGCAACTTTCAACTGACGGTTACGGTCACGCGTGTAGAGGTAATCGCGTAGACGAGAATCCCTCAACAAGCACTAGAGACGTGGCTAAAGAAGTGCAAGTATCAAAAACTAAAATGTGGCAAACGCTGCGTGAAGAGGGGCTGTATCCGTTTCACGTCCAACGTGTACAAGCCCTTCAACCTGACGATTTTCCAGCAAGAGTGCGGTTTTGTGAGTGGTTGTTGCATCAACATGACAATAATCCGGACTCTTTGAAATGAATATTGGTGACAGACGAATCTACGTTCACGCGTAATGGGGTGAATAACTTCCGCAACACTCATGTTTGGTCAGTAGAAAATCCGCACGCTGTCCGTCGGGCACATTTTCAACAAACATTTTCGGTGAATGTTTGGGCTGGCATGGTGAACGGTATGCTCATTGGACCATTTATTCTCCCAAATCGATTGGACGGGATGCAATACCTAGACTTTTTACGCAACATTTCGCCTTCCTTGTTTGCCTGCGTCTGCTCGGTAGCGCATCAGCTGATTTCATTTTCTGTTGGAGCGGTATGATTTCGGGCAGAGACGTACTTAGCCCTTCTCGTCAACTGGAGAGTGAGTACTTTTTCCTTTATTTTTTTTTTACTTGGTCGCCCTCGTTTCACTACACATTACCTTTGTTATTTCAAGGGTAGTTGTTTCTGAAAAGGAAAACCCCAACTTTGCGGACACCCTGTATATATATATATATATATCTTATCTTTATATATATATAGAGAAAATGATCATGCGGAGAAAAGTATATAACAAAAAGTAGGAAAATCATGGGCAAAATCCGCAAAAAGGAGGAAAGTGGATTCGAGCAGAAAATAGGATAGGTAACCCGAGCGATACGTATTTCTTCTGGTTGGCTTCATCAGGCCCGAGATGAATGCACATATGAAACTACAAAAGTAGATACACATGCCCACACATCCGGATACGGGTGTAACCTCTCCATCTTCGTTTCCTCAGGTTACACCCGTATCCGGATGTGTGGGCATGTGTATCTACTTTTGTAGTTTCATATGTGCATTCATCTTGGACCTGATGAAGCCAACCAGCAGAAATACGTATCGCTCGGGTTACCTATCCTATTTTCTGCTCGAATCCACTTTCCTCCTTTTTGCGGTTTTGCCCATGATTTTCCTACTTTTTGTTATATATATGTATATATAAAGAAAATGATTATGCTTTTTGTTATATAGTTATATATTACACGTGTGTGTGTGTTTGTATGTGAGGTAGAGACTAAGGAACAAAAGAAGAATAACCGAACAAATAATTTCTATTAGGAAAAATATTCAATTCAATAAGAATAACACGTAATGCTCGCAGAAAAGTGCTACTTTCTGCACGCAGATGCGTGTTGAAAGTGAGTACTTTCCGAACGCTGGTAGAAAAAGAGTTTACGCGACTCGATATCCAAATCGGCGTCTTTGCGATGTGAGAGTTTACGAGCCAATGGTCGTTTTCGGCCTACGTTTCAACGACAAAGAATTGGAAGAACACAAGAAAATATTAACTGAGATATATTGAAGGAAATCCTCATGTAAGCACAAAGGCATTATCCCTTGAGTTGGGAGTATCACGAACCACGTACAAAATATTTTGAAGGACCTTAGGTAAGTTCTAATAGCCATCAAAATATAGGGATTTATTTCAATTTAACTTTTTTTGTAATTACTCTTAGAATGTCGTTTTGCATCAGGCCTTGAAAGAGGAAGGCTTTGATCGGAGGTTGGACTAGTGCCATTGTATTTTAGGCATGATACGTAAAAATAGAGACAAGGATGTTGGAGTTTAAATGTGTGGTGTGACATACTGGGAGGCAAAATTATCGGGCCATATTTTTTCGAGCAATTTCTAACGTTGTTGTTGGAAGATGTGCCACTGGAGACACGGCAAAACTTGTTTTTGCAGTTGGATGGTGGCCGAGCACCTTTTGCTATTATTGTGCGAGAGCATATGTTTCCATGGCCTTCGCGATCATCAGACTTAACTTGTCTTGATTTTTATGTATGGGGGCAGTTAAAGGACATCGTGTTTCGGAGTCAAACTACAACCAGTGAATATATGAAAAACAGGATTCGTAACGCAGTACGTATCATTCCGAGATCCGAAATTGAAGCTGCAGTTTTTTCTACCAATGAAAAGCTTCAGGAATGCATACAGCGTGATGATCAGCATTTACAGCATTTACGAGGACATTAGAAACCTTTCTTTTTAAATTGGTCTTTTTTAGGGCCACTGAACAATAGAAAATGAAAGAAATTCCAGAAAAATCAGTTTAAGAGAATAAAAAATTAAGAGATTTCCGTATAAAATTTTGTCTAGCCTAAATTTTAGGTTAGGAACAAGATATCGAGATGCAGTTTTCGCTAGCTTGTTAAGACATCATTTAGATACTTTTTCATATAAAAATCATACAAATGCATTTAATTTTTTGAGAAAATTAACCATTTCTGTCAGAATGTCGAGAAAAGCCCTCTACTAGCCACATGTGAAACTTCAGATATTACAACATTTGTAGCCCGAGAATAGCTAGCTCTTTTCGAAATCGGCTCAGCCGTTTCGAAGATATGGAAACCGATACCCCCCACCACTTTATTTTGAGATACAGCAAAAAATATCGAACAAAAAAGGTTCAGATTATCCTCGAATTTAAAGATCAGGTATTTTTTTGTTAGGTTAATATAGCGTTCCACAGAAACATCACTTTTTTATATTCAATATTGCAGTTTTAGTAATAACTGTTTTTGCTGCAAGCCTCCAAGATGGACAGGTTCCCAGTTACAGTACCTCCCATTCTTAGTTAGCCACCCTCTATAAGATTGTACAAGAATTTTTATCATACAAATTTTAAATTGTCATTATCACGTGTAGGTCTTACTTCTTTTTTTATAATTGCAATTTTCACTATATCTTATGTATCAATCATTCTTTTGCTTCTTTGACTGGTCACATGTATTAATTTACTGAAATGTGATCAATAAACATCTATCTATAGATATCGTCGGTAATTTTTTACGGGTATGATCCGCAAGTCAAATATATTCCAGTATATGAATAGTAAATATGCTTCAAAAACTGTGGGTTTTCATATTTTTCTCGTTTCCTGGTGAATAGATTCAGGGTGATCTAGGGGTATTCCCATATTGTTGATTTCTCCGAGTTTCATTATTTGACGAATTTTAAGCCCCGATTTACCCTGTTAATGTTTGATAGCGCCGCCGCTGGAATAATCGAGTTGGATATAGGTAACCAATACAGATTAAGTCCCTCAATGTCTACCGTCGATTCACAAAGTCTCATCTAATTCACTCAACTAAACTGAGAGAAGTTAAAAATATCAATATTTGAAGAAATGAACTTGAACACCATGTCTCAATAAGGAACCTGTAAGATCATAAGTTTACGTGAATGTTTTCTGATCGGTTTAATGAGATCCACTGGCTAGTATATTATAAACCTAAATAATCATATAATACATATAAAATGGAATTTAAAAAAAAGCAGATAAACATCAAAAACCACTAGTTTTTACTTTAATTTTTAATACACAGTACAGGGAGACTCGGTAGCTCGGTGGTCAGAGCGTCGAGCTATCAAACCGTACCGGGTTCGAATCTCCGCCACGGAAGCATAAATCCTTGCCATGGATGTTGTGTTGTCTATGTCACGCACGTGATGCAACATTAACAGGTAGCTGGAGCTGGTTTATTATATCAGTTACCAGTAGATGGCTCGTGTAGTAGACCCCGTAGTACAGTGTTGGTACTACGGGGTCGGCAAAAAGGGTCAAAGGTGGCCTAGTTGCCAGGCTTCGCCTCCCATTCTCTACTACTACTACTACTACTGCAGTATTTTGAACGTATTCCACTCAAACATCCATACAGTGGACCCGGGTTGGAAGGTTTTCGTGTTTTGATGTCTACTCGTACGTCAAGATAGGAGGAGGAAGGATTTTCATTGCCGTCGAATAATAAAGATACCAGAGTGTGCAAAAGTTGACTCAGATAGCAGATAATTCGGAGTTTGACCTAAGGATCGTCATAGAGCTGATGGTTGCGTAGGCGACGAACAGCAAGGCCAAGAATAACCCCCTTGCTTTGCGCCGTATCGGTGTACGCCTCTTGGGGACTTGATATAGACCAGGAAATAGGGAGATTTTGCTTAACAAAATGTTATTCAATGGTTGCA